GTTTGAGATTGTGCAACCAAGTGTCTGCCTTACAGGATGTCAACCAGGACCACGACTACATAAATCATCCTAATTAAAAAAGTAAGTTGAACACACTAAATACAATTTAATTTAATTTGGTTACAAATACTGATTTTAAAATGAAATGTATAATTAACTATACTTAAGTTTAATATAATTTATACAGCATTATAAACGGATAACTGATTACCTTTTCATGGAATTTTAAAATCTTTAACCCAGAATATATATTTTTTCTTCTTCTTTTGTTCTTAGGTTTACTAGGAAGTCAGCATGAGAGCTCACACAACACATGACATCTTTTTCACGATTTATCTTTTATTTTTTTAAATGTGTAACCAAAGATATTTATTCATTAATGATTGTGTTTAGCCATTTAGAATGTATTAATTTAAAGATTTAGTGAAATGTTGACAACAGAATTACCTTTTTAATATTTGTAAGTAACAATAGTATGTAAATATTGTAAATAGTAGTAAATATTGTAAATATTTTTGTTACATTTTATCAATTAATTTTTCGAGTAAATTAAAGAGCCTATCACTCCTTGCCCTGTCTTCTGCATCTCTCCTTTCTTCCCACTCCTTCTGACGTGCCATGTCTTCCTTCAGGAGCTCAAGAAGAGGATCTGATTTGTTTTTTCTCTTTCTTGGCCGTGACTGCTCTATCCCTGCCCTCTCCTGCTGTGCTGCTTCCTGGGTAGGCTCAACAGAACTGCAACCTGGCTGTGGTTCGTCATCAGACAGTGAAGCAATGAGAACAGGGGGAGAAATGGAAGGCCTCTGACCCAACATCTCATCCATCAGAACAAACCACGGCCAGGTTTCAGCAGTTGGCTTTCCGTTGTTCAGGCCCTCACCTGACCCTGGATGTTTGCATTCCTAAGACAAAAAAAATGTTAATGGTGGTGGCATAAATACTCACTCATGCCACCTCTGAGCCTCATTAAATGTCTGAAAATACACCTACGAGCCACTTTTGTGTTCTTCTGTAGTACAAATTATTTTGCTTATACTGATTTTATATGATTGGTAACTTATTCTACTGTTTAATTAGAAAGTGTAAAAAGCTTATGAATATACATTTTTGAATTTGACATAAAAGATGACATACTTTTTATAAAATTAGAAAAATGCCATTAAAAAAAATAATTAAAAAAATGCCCCTGTAAATCACTTTAAGGAGTCAAATATCACCTCGTAATGGGAAGGCTTCTCACCCTCAAGTTGTTCTAAACCTGTATGAATTTCTTTGTTCTCCTCAACAAAACGGAAGATATTTTGAAGAATGTTTATAACCAGAAAGTTTCTGGTCTCCATTGACTCCAATTTTTATTTATTTTTTTGGTTACCAGTATTGTTCCAAATATATTCTTTTGCGTTCAACAGCAGAGGGAAACTCGTACAGGTTTAGAACAGGTTTAGAACAACGACAGAATT